CACAAGCGTGCATCCTCAGAGCCAGGATAAACAACTCCGTTACTCTCCCTCCTAAACTAGCTCTTCTGGAGGGAGGAGAAAATAAATAAGAGAGAGAGAGAGAGGCATTTGAAGTAACCTTTTTAAGGAGAAGGCAGCAACCAATAGAACCTTTTCTTATTTTTTTCCACTTCTTACTAGAGAAATTCGTGTTATCTCAGCAATTAAGGAGAAGAGCCAGCATCTAGGGTTCCAGGCTGTGAGGGGAAGTAGCAACTTGTACCAGGTAGGAAGCCCTTTCAGCATCCTCTTTAATTCATGCAGCTCAGTTACTTACTACAGTACTTGCTATGTTACAATACTGTGGCTGACTTCTGGAGACCTTGTGTCTGTTAGCCACCATTCCCTGAGTGAAAGGGACCGTGGGGAGCCTTAATTGTCAATGACCTTCAGGGTATTTCTTGGAAAGGCACTAATACTTAGTGCTGTAAAGTAAGGCAATCTAGACTTCCATCTAACTGCTTAGATGTGTGCATTTAGCATCAGGATGCAGCTGGTCGAAACTGCAGCTGTTACCCATATATGAACCCATGTCACAAATGAGTAAAAATTAGCCATTTTATAATAACAGAAACAGCTGCTCTGCATATTTAGCAACACTGATGTACTACTTTCCCAAACTTATTACCATAAATTCATTGTGTGCTCTAAAGTAAGCAAATAGGCTTTAGTGTATTCAGAGATATTCCGACATTTAATGTACTATTACATTTTCATAGTCGCTCATGCATATTTCATCAAGAGTTTTTATAAACTTTTCTGTTGCAGACATGTCTTCTGTTGTAGATTGATACTCTGCCACTAAATAATGAACAATAAAAATAATCGGTAGCCTTGCATTGAACTGCCGGCAATACATACTTTCCAGAATTACTTACTGAAAGGCTGTTAGAATACAGGAAGCCCTCTGCAAGGTTTGGGAGGAGGGTGTGGAATGGGATGGAACACTGAGTTTTTGGGATGCACTAATGTAAAAAAAACCAAAAGCCCTACTAACCTGATTTGAGATCCTTCTGTTCACAACTTTCTACCTGACATGTTATGTTTTTGTTGAATCAAATGAATTAACCTTTACTTGACATTCACATAACCTTTTCATCTTGCGATGGTCACATGACTTAAGTTTCTTATTAAAAAACATGAATTTGACAGTAGGATATGCTTTTTTAAAAATTCATGGCTATTAAATTTGCTCAGAGCCTAAGTTAGTCTGCAAGAGCTAGCATGAGGTTTACCAAAAGAGTCGATTCTTTTAAAGTTTTGTTGTTTAACGCTAAATTTAAGTTACTGTCTGTTTTGGATAGCGGTTGGGTTTTAGGCAAACTTTTACAAGTCTTATCATGGCTTTGTCTGTAATATCAGACTTTTGTGATTGGTGAATTCTGTTAGGATAAAGCAAAAATCTCTTTTGAAGGCAAAAAAAGTGTGAGCAAGAATACCAGGTCTCTGCTTTACCTTCCTATAACAGAATTAGAAAACCTGCTTAGGCCCACTAATTTCATAGATGTTCAGCACCAGTTAATATTAGGCATAATTCTGTGCCTAGGCTTCTGATGGCACCTTTTGCTTCTTCTGACTGCTTTATTTAATACCTAGAAAAATACCATCAGCATAAATATTTTCATAAAGATGCATTGTGTTTTATCTGTGGTGAGGAAAAATTCAAAGAAAATGAGTGTACTTTGTATTATCGTCTCTTTTTCTGGTCTTTGGCATATTAAATGTCCCAGGGGAAAACACAATGTTCAGAATTTATAATTATGCCTGATAGTAAATCAATGCTATGGAATTTACAAATATTTGCATATTATTCAGCCCAAGTGAAGTCAATTAGGTCTATTGAGCTCCCTAAAACTAAAACTCTCAGTTTAAGAGCCCTGATACCACATGAGAGGAGTTTTATCCTCCGTGCCTTATTTTTTACTGAACTGTCATTTGGGGGACACAGAGAAGTCCAGCTTCTTGGAGATTTCTCCGTTGTTTAGAAGTACTCGGGTTTCAACCAGCCTGTTATGATACACAACTGGAAGGAAATCTGAGATAGAAAATTGACCACTGAAGTTCTGACTCCTTTGGTATGTGTTGCTGCTAGAAGAACATGATAAAGAAAGTAAGAACGTCTTCTGTTTTTATAGAGGTAAATATTTATGGGATGTCATGCTCAATGGAGTTATTAATTTAAGGGCATTGAGAAAAATAGCAAGAAATATGATGACCTGGAAACATGTCATAAATACAAATTTGGTGTAAAATTTTAAGCAAATACAGATTTTGTTTCTTATATGCAAGGTGTGCTCGCTTGTTCCTGTAAAGATTCTAAGATTTCCCTAAGGAGACATTGATCCCTGACATGACCCCAGAAAAGTTAACGGAGTCAGTAAATTAACTTGCTTTATATAATTTTGTTTTTGTCTAACCATCTGAGTTACAAAGAGTCATTGATATGGCATATTTGCCATCTCTAAAAAGGAGGGTGTGTTTAGAGAATCAGGTATCAGGATGCTAGTTTTCTTTTCAACTCTGCTGCTGACGTGGTGTGTCATTTAACTTTTGTGTACCTCAGTTTACCTATCTGTAAAATGAGTATTTGCCTATTTTTGCAGTGCTTGTGATGTTTAATGATTGCAAAATGTTTAGATCCTTAGATGAATGGTGATATTTATGTATTTCAAAATCTTGCTAACATGCAATGGACATTAGGCATTACAAAGACTGAAGCACCTTGTTTTAATTAATAGAGAAATGATAAACCTTTAAGTCAACTATTCATGTGGATTTCATCTTCTTTTACTCTCATTAGACTTTGCAGGATGACAACTTGTAGAAATATTCCCTATTTCATTTTATTGCTCTTCTAACGATTGTATTCCAGTGTTTAAACCTTTCCCCCATTCTTGGTAATACTAAATCTGTGCAACCTTTTTTTCTGTTTGTATCTTATGAGTAACAAAGAGTCATGTGGCACCGCAGACGTCTGACGAAGTGGGTATTCACCCACGAAAGCTTATGCTCCAATACATCTGTTATACAATACATCTGTCTATAAGGTGCCACAGGACTCTCTGTTGCTTTTTACAGATCCAGACTAACACGGCTACCCCTCTGATACTATCTTATGAGTGTGACTTTAAAAGAGTATGTGTGTTGATTTTTACATTGATGGTAGTGTGTGCTACTGAAAGGTGCTGGGTGAACATTATCATCCTTGGAGGCTCAAATTCTTTATTCTTTTATACAACAGGTTTCAGACATGCAAGCTTCTTCATATTGTCCTTCCATAGTGTTTCAACCCTGAGCTGCAAGAGACCATCTTTAGAGAGTAAAGTTTGAATGCGCATTGGGCTCTACTAGTGTGTGGACCTATGTGCATCCCATTGCCTTTAATGAGACTCTTCATGAGTGCAGGGATACATGCTACAGATCTCTGTACAGGCAAAAGGCCTTTAAGGGTATGTCCAGACTACCTGCCGTATTGGCGGGTAGCGATTGATTTATCGGGAATCGATATATCGCGTCTCGTTAAGATGCGATATATCGATACCCGAATGCGCTCCCCGTCGACTCCGGAACTCCACCGGAGCGAGCGGCAGTAGTGGAGTCGACGGGGGAGCCGTGGCCGTTGATCCCGCGCCGTGAGGACCCCAGGTAAATCGATCTAAGATACTTTGACTTCAGCTACGCTATTCACGTGGCTGAAGTTGCATATCTTAGATCGACCTACCCCCCCCCCCCCGCAAGTAGACCAGCCCAAAGAGTAGTTCAATCTTCTTGGCCCATTCAGTCCCTGAATTTTTAGCTTTGATTGTCACTGTTAGCACCCTTTGTTGTCAGTGGGTTTTATTACATGGGCAACAGTCTACTCTGAATACAGCTGAAACCACTAACTCATTCATGTCTCCTGGTCCACCACACAGTTATTCAGTAATCAATTTTGGTCACTCCCTCACAGGGCTTTGTACCAGAGCTCTGAGCTATCCTGTCCTGTGCCTTGGGTGTGTGGCATTGAGCCTGATAGCTCAGCTGCTGCTAAGGTGAGTGAGGGTCAGATCCATTTTGAAGATCATATTTGCTGCAATGTGCATATGTAAGGTTCAACTATAAATGTACAAGCAAATAGTATTTCTTCCTTCCCTTTGACTCTCTCCTGAGATTAAAACTGACCAGAAGATACAGTATATGTTTAACCACACCATAAAGGTTATAACAACACAAAGTATGAGCTACAAAGCTTTGGTATAAATGGGAGACCCATAAGAATTCCTAAGTGGCCATTATCTCTTGATCTCCCTTTAGATAATTTTCATAAGATCTTTGTTTTTGAAATCAAAACACTAAATGCACACTCTAACAGCACGTTACTCTGCAAATGGATGAACGATGATTCCATAACAATCCAATGCTGTTGATGGGAGGAAAAGACTGTCCCCCCGCCCTTTTTTTTTTTTTGAACAACAGATATGTCCATGTTCAGAGGTATGTTCCTCCCAAAGTGGCTAGAAAACAAAGAATATTGGTCTGGCTTTTCTTTAACCTTCCAGATGTTAAATAATAATTTTTCAAGATGGAAACTTGATGACCAATGACACTGATATTTTGCTTTGTGCGTAGAATCAAGTTCAGAGTGAATATTGTAGCTGACTAATGCTGGGCTCTGTTGCCAACTTTAAAGAAATAGCAAGTCACTTACCAGCACAACTTTTGAGATTTATTTAGGCAATAATCCCCAAGAAACCAGTCATTACTAGCAATTAACTGCTGGTTTGTTAGTTCACTATGGACCATTAATGCTCTAACAAAGTGACTGTTAACTAAAGCAGCAGTAGCAAATTTTGAGGTGGCTATTGCTCTTACTCTATATGTCTTCTATGTGGCATATGTTCTCTTTTATCTGTCCTCCCCCCCCCCCCCCACACACACACTTTGTTTAGCAGTTAAAGGGTAGTTAACAACTGAATTTTGCCCAATTAATGCTTCTTCAGTAGGGGAAATAACAGTGGCATCCAGGCTGGATTTGCAATATATATATATTTGAAAATAATAAACATTAGCCTGCAGTGTATTACCCTGGACCTGCATCTCTTTATCATCTTAGAACATTTTATACATGATGCAATTAGTCAGAGATTATTTCTGATCATTTTATTGCTTAAATGAAATACTGAATCCAAACAGAGTGAAAGAGTATGCAACCAGACAATCCCAAATATTGATCTTAGAGCAGTTTTT